GAATGTGAATAACATAAATGATATTGTTAAATTCTCTCCAGTCTTTCTCTGGATGCAAGATAGAAGTGTTCTCAGGTACCACAATATTAACTGTTTAACCATTTCTATGTCCTCTTCAGGGCTCATGTAAGCACAATCATTGCATGGCATTAATTACCAATGGCTGAGTGCAACTTTGCCCTGGAGAATTCAAGTCTCAATCTATGGCCATGTTTATTTTGAAGTTGGGGTCCTGGAAAAGTGAGGCTCAAGTAAACATCTGTTAATGACATTGTCTACTGTCTGTCATTAACTTCTTTTCCTGCACTGCTTCTAATTAAAGCCAATGGGTGGTATTATAATGAGGAGTATTCCCGGTTAAACTGCAGGCTCGATTTCATAAATGGAAATAAATGCCTGTTACTTTGAAACAATAAAGATTCAGACTGAATTACATGGGTGTGAATCTGATGCAGGCCACAGTCAATGCAGAGTCAGATATGCCACTTCTGTCAGGTGAAATGGGATTTTCTTCAACGTGACAGAAAAAAAATCGGACGTGTCAGTAATGCTGAAGGTGATGTACTGTCTTGTAAATGTGTGATCCATGAACCATGCTTAACGTGATTGTACATTCCCTTGGTTCCCTACTTGACTCCAAGATGAGATTCCACCTCAAGCTTATGCATTGTAAATTTCACCCATTTCAATCTCCTTAACCCCCGCCCAACTCCAACCCACCCTCATCTCACATCTGCTGCTGAAAGCCTCATCCATGTCTTAGTTTTTGCTAGACTTGGCTATTCCAACACTTTGCTGGCCAGCCTCCCACTTTCCACCCGCTATAAACCCGCAGTCATCCAAAACTGCTGCTGTGTCCTTAGTCACTCATTACCTTTCACTCACTACCTGATGTTGTAACCACAGTGACTCCAGATTAAGCAATGCCCTGATTTTAAAATTCTCATCTTCGTTTTCAAATTCCATTTTATTTTATTCTGCTTCCCTGAATTGCCTTGGGATATTTTAAACGTGCAATATAAATTCAAGTTGTCATTCATTTGGAAACATTTTAGAAAGAATAAACTGTAAATAAAACATCTCAGAGGTTGGAGTTTGAGGCTTTATATTTGTTTTCATATTGTATACAACAATTTCCATTGAAACCAAGCAGAACTGAATCCTCACGAGTGCCTTTCCAGCAATTCCAGTCAAGCATTTATGTCTCAAAATCAATTTTACATAATTTATTAAACTGAAAGGCACTTAATTTGCCATTTTGCAAATAGACTCTGGAATGAAAATTAGCTATTCCAAATATGAATTAATTATGAACTAAGATGACCTATTTTTCTGTTCTGAGATATAATGTGGGATAGGTTAGGAATGTAAGAACAAGAATACACTATTCAACCCATTGATCCAGTTTTGCCTTTCAATTAGAACATAGCTTATCTACACTTACACTCATTTTCTAACAATTTATGAGGAGCAGCCCAGCATTCAGTGCCTCAATCCTTGTACTGCAATATATTTGATCAGCTCTAATTACCTACCCATGCTCCATATCTCTTGAACCCATTGTATCGAACCAAAATCTATCAATCTCAGTTTTGGAAATTCCTATTTAGTGAGTATCCATGATATTTTAGGGAAGAGATCCAGATTTCAACTTCCCTTTGGGTAAAATGTGCTTGCACAAGTTTTAAGATAATATCCCTGATGTTCTTAATTCTCCTACTGAAGGAAATAGTTTATCTAGTGTGATTTTCTCTTTTTCAGGATAAGTGTGGGGCTGAATACACTAAGTATACACTAACTTACCATTCCCATGGGTTTCAGTGAGTTGTTTGGCCTATCACAGGCCTTGATAGTGGTGCCCACCATTTCTCAGATGCTGCGACCAATCAGAGACTGGAACATTTTGGGTCCTCGGACTGCTGTTTAAGTTCTACTCTTCCAGGGATCTAACTGTGAAAAAGTAGCCTTTACCTCTGGCTTCTTGCAGGGTGGGTCTCATGAGGAGTTGGGGGATTGGATTTGTGGGGCAAGGCAGTGGCTAACTTTCAGTGAAAAACCCTTTGCCCTCATCCAAGCCCATGGCTGTCCCCAGATTGTGGCAAATGGAGTGCCACCCCCAAGTGGGCAGGTAGGTTACCCTGTTCACAGAGATGGGAAGGCAGGTAATTGAGGAGATGGTGAATTAAGGCCCAAGGGGGCACTAATTTAAGGGCCATAATTGCTGGCGACTTGAGAAAGTCCACAATGGTTCATCATGACCAGCAATTGACTGTTGATGTCTCTAGAAGGGGCTGAGTATCACTGAAGGGCCATCACACCTAATTATTTCTCTTCATGGCATCTCGTTTGCCTTCACTGAGGAAGAGAAAATAGCACCATCTGCATCTACCCTGTTAAATTCATTTATAATTCTAAACTATTGGATTATCATTCAATCTTCTGAACTCAAGGTGTACGAGCCAGCTTTATGCAGATTACACTTATAATTTAACTCTTTAAGTCCTGATATCATTCTGTTATGGTGTACCTCAGCCAACACCAATATGCCCTTCCTGAAGTGCAGTGCCTGGAACTGAAAACTGCACTGTATTTTACACTCCCAGGGGCTGGGTTGGTGGGAGATAGTGTGTGGTAAAATTGGGCACTGTCCCCTTGCACACCAGCCCTATGCCACAAGATTATATGTGGTGGGAGAAGGAGCAGGCGGACTGTCCAAGTATGGGCCAGTTGAAGTCCTTAAATGTTCAATTAGTCACATCAGTTTGACTTTTGACGCTTTTCTCAGTGGTGCCAAGTGTGAAGTCCAACTATCTGTCACAGCGTGGGATAGGGGAGGCAAGGGGAGATACCTCTTTTATAGGCTGCTCCCCTGGAACCCTCACAACCAAACACCTCCCCAGCCAAGCCTGCCATCTCAGGGCCCCCACTTCCCTCTCTGGGGCCTACCAACACGGCTCCAGCAATAAACCTCACACTCCCCTCTGTGTCCGGCTCATTGTGGGTTGGGGATGCGGTGATCCCTTTTGCAGATCGGACAAGTCCTTGAAGTGGCCACCCACAGCTCTCTGTGGCACCGTTGGATCCAATGAGCTGCCAACTGCTTGAATGGCTGAGAACTTTATTTAAGGACTTGGATGCAGTGCTGCAAGAAAGTCAATGACCTCACACAAATGGTCAAGGTCTGTATCTTCAAGTACCATAAGCTACCAACCTCACATACTGTACAATACAACTCAGCCTCTATCACTCCCTTCCTAACTATTTCCATCAATCCTGTTTCATGCACGTCATTAACAAAATTAGCAGTGCTCCAAACCCTATAACCACAAGTCACAGCTGGCACACAGTGCTAAATGTTTAGTTATGATAAACCATAAACTCCCTCTCCCTTGCAGGGCAAAATGACTCAGTCAGAGGAAGCAGCTCCTAACCAGTGAGTGAGTGACATAGCAATAAGTCCTAACCCCAAAGGAAGAGACGATGGAGTAGCAATTACTGAGGTTGTCTCCAGCGGTGAGACTGAAACAAACAAGGATGGCAATTTCCTCTGACATAAACTTCCTTCTCATATCCCAAATGCTCCTCAATCCATGTCCTCTTCTGTTATATGAGCTGCAGATGATGTAGGAATTCATCTATTGCTTTCTCTGGCTCTTTGCATCACGGCTCTACTCTTGAGTCTTTTCCCCTTCAGAAACCCGACAACTACAACCTGGACAAACTGTTTAGAACTGTGGTGATAAAGAAGAAACATTGTCACTGGCTCTCACATTGCACCCCACCAATTCAGATAGTCATTGTATCCACTTTAAGGATAGCACAGTGGCAGGATCTGCTCATAGTGAGACTTTGTGCATTGAGATATCTAGAGCCAGGCAGTGGAAAAAGGGAGTGCAGCTGACAGCTTGCCAAACAGTGACTAAGATAAATGGTTGGCCTATGGAAGAGTGTTGACGGGGATGCTCTGCCATTAAATAAGATCATAGCTGATTTTTTTTTAACTTACCTCTATGTTCCTGGTCTATCACAATAACTCTTGACCCAAAAATCCATCAATAACTGGACAACCATAGCTTTCTAGAGAATCCCAAAGATAACCGTTAGAGTAAAATTTGTGACACAACTAATGTTTGCACTACTGAAGGACCTTTTCTGCGTCCAAACCTCATACTTGGGCTTATTTAAGAAGCCAAACTGTACACTATGCTCCACCTCGGGCCTTATATAATTGCATTGAGGCATCTCTACTGTTACACACAATCTCTTTATAAGAAAAGGTAACATATTATCTGCTTGTCACCTGCACATTTACTTCCTGTAATTATGTAAGGACGATTTGAATACCAATGTTTCCAGACTCTTATAAAAAATTCTGCTTTTCGATTTTTCCCAGCGAACTAGATAATGTCATATTTCTCCGCATCCACCTGCTGCATTTTTGCTCACTCTTGGACCCTATTTACATCCGTTTGCAACTTCTTTAGCTTCTTTCCACAACTTATTTTCCCACTTTATTTATTATCAACAGGAAACTTGGATACATTTAACTCGGTCCTCTTATCTAAGTAATGGATTTAAATTGTAAAAATAGTTGAGGCCCTATTAAGCAATAATCCTTGCAGTTTCCAATTAGTCATTGTGTCCCACTACAAAATGACCCATTTCTTCCAGTCTTTCTGTTTTTGTCCATTAACCAGTCCTCAACAGTGCTCATATTTTCTGCTCCATTCGTACAAGTCCTAAACTGATGTCATCACCTCTTTTGTGGCACTTTGTTGAATTCATTTTGCAAATTCAAATTCACCGCATCTGTTGGTTCCTCTTATCTATACAGCATTATGCATCTGAAATATCTGAAGACTTGAGGTCAGGAATGACAATATGTAGAACATAATCTTCTTGATTTTTAGTCAGCACTAGAAGGATATGTGTTTAACAGCGACCATCAAGTAAGCTATGACAGTCAGGAATGAGTATCGAAGGTAACAGTGCTCACTTACCTAGAATAGCCAGCACTGTGTTGTCCTTCAGGACCTCCATGGAACCTGAGCAGACAAAGTAGATAGCCTGCAGGGCATCGCCCTGACGGATGAGGTATTCCCCTGGAGCACAGAAAGAGGTCTTGATGCTTAAAGAGAGGGATCGAAGGCACCCACGGCTAGCTGATTCAAATATAGGTAGCTGAAGGATTTCTTTGTTCAGATGCATTGCAATGTCCGCTCGCAGTTCATCAGGGAAATCTTTCAGAAGCTGGAATGAGGACACATACTACATGATTAAAACTGGCATGGAATGTAAGTATATTTCCCGGTAAGACAGTAATCATTGTTTCTCGATAAAGTTACTATGTCCGAGCATGTAGATGTTGTCACTACCCGCCCTTTCTTTTATTCCCTTCCTTGTCCCATAAAACTACAATGAAATTGTAGAAAGGCCTCTCGCTATAAAGCAAAATGGAGGGGATTGAAAGATAGAAGGAGCAGGCATGATGGGTTGAATGGCCTCCTTCTGCACCATGACAATTATTTCTGATTCTGAGTCTGTGTTGGAAGTGTGAAGGAAATAGATGGTATAACTGCAACTGATGACATTAATCAATATCGTAAAACGTTTTTGAAAAGAAATGGGCCCCAAATGATACGCTATGGCTGTAAGTCAATGCAAAACTTCTGTTAGGTATACCAGTTTAGATCTGTGTGACAGCAGCAGGTTTCTCTACAGGCTGATAAATTGCTCCAAATCATCTTTAGTTCTTTATCCATACATTCAGCCAACTGTTGTTAGCTCAAGTAAAGGGGGACATACTATCTGCAGATAAAACTGCTTATCTAACGTGATAGATGGAATAAACCTGCTGAATATTTATTTTCCATTTGCAATGTGCAGCAATACGTAAGGTCAAAATATTACACATGGGAGAGAAATATGATGATAGCCCAAATATAATTCATTCAATATTCCTGAAATTCATAACCTAACTTGTAGTATTCCTACAGGATATGTTCAACACATTCACCACACATAGCTGTTTAAGCTACATATGTATTGGTAGGTTTCATTTCTGCAACACATTAAATTCTGTCTATGGAGAAATATAGACTAAGTATGAAAAATGAGGTGATATATTTCCAGACCACTTTCTGAAACCAGGCATAATAGCTCCAGGGCTTAGTATTTGAATAGTGAGGGTTGAGAATTGCTGTATCATAAATCTATGCCCTATCATACTGGAACACAGCATGGTGATATAAGTATCACTGAAATAGAGACCAAATAAAGAGTAAATGACCCATGTGGCAGCTACAAGAATGTTATATTTACTGAATTACGTTGTGTAGAGGTTAACTAACTTGCTTCTATTGCATTTTTTTATGATTGAAAATCCCAGTTCTCAAAGATGTGATCAAGTTATATTTTTTTCTGAACACTACCAAGTAAGTTATTTAAAAATAAGTGATGCATTTATACATAACAGTCTCACTGGAAGTAGTCTTATTCTTTCAGCCTGTAAATTACACACTCACATGGCAACATGAAAATCAAGATTTTACTGCCATCTCAACAAAGCTATTTTGTTTTAAATATAGTAAAATTAAAGAGAGAGGAGGAAAGTTATCTTTTAAAAGCACTTTCACTTTTTTTTGTCTAGTAAAGTATATTGTTCAGGGGTTGGTTATCTCAGATGGCTGGTTTGTGATACAGAGTGATGCCAACAGCATGGGTTCAATTCCTGCACTGGCTGAGTTTACTAGGAAGGACTCTCCTTCTCAACCTCTCCCCTTGCCTGAGGTGTGGTGACCCCGAGGTTAAACCACCACTAGTCATTTCTCCCTCCTTCTGAAGGAACAACAACCTTATGGTCTGGTAAGACAATGGTGATGTTATCTTATATCTTTAATGGCTTCATAACCTATAAAATTAACCAACTGATCTCAGACCCGGATAAAAAGCAATCTTGCTTGCGTTAGTAAATTCCATGTTAATTATCAGTCCCAGGTGTAGATTCTATGTTTTGCCAGAGCGGAATCCTATAAAAACCTGAGCGATGTGGGTTATGGTAAGATTTGTGGCAGAATTGAATGAAAAGTCCAGTGAGGACTATCTTAGCCTCAGGAGCAATGCACTGCAATTTTTGTGCAGTTGCTGAGTGCTGGTGCGAGTTTCTTACTAGAGCTACAATTAAAGGGCATTAGTCGATGTCCAACTTATCTCATTAATTTCTAACTTTGTTCACATATCATATATATATTGTTTTATATGTAAAATTCTCGACGTGGAAGTCAGAGCGGGCACCTGGTAACATCAGCTCAACAGTGCTACGGCCAGCTTTCATGTTGCTCAGCTCCAAACAGCATGTCTGGGATGATCTACATGCACCAGTCACATGCACCCATTGTCCATGGACTATGGCATCTGATATCTGACAGCTCTTCACAATCGTGGGGGCACCTCTTCAATCCATTCACAAGTCATCGAGGAAGCACAGAACGACATTCCAGGGCACAGCAGCAATTAGCACTGAAACGCTGCTGCAAGGACACATTGCTCACAGAAATAGAAACCCAGCTTACAGATTGGATACGGTTGCATCTCAGAGCTGCTCACTTGTTTTCCAGTGCTCGCTCACCTGGATACTTACAGCATTTCTGCCTTGCATTGCCTTGTCAGCTAGGGCATTCACGTCAAACCGGGCAACTTGCCTTGCTGGTCAGCAGTTCTCGGTCAAAGGGTCGAACATCTCAGAGTGCAGCAGTGTATGACATCAATCTCATACCAGCAATGTTTTGTGTGCAGCAAGCATGGAAGCCATGTGTCAGAGTCTTAGGGGAGTAGTCCTCAGAAGGTCCATCACTCACGGGCTCTTGGGACAGTAAGTCAAGGGCAACCTCCAACAGAAAGCTTTTAGAAAAGGCAGTGGGGACAGTCTCCTGGTAGATATCCACTGAGTGGCAAGTTGTTCCAGGCATGACACCTTGTAAGCTGGGGATAGTTTTGGAGATAAGAGATGCCATGGGACTTGGTAGTTAATTGATGAGGTACATTTGGCAAGTTTGTGAGAGATCCCATGGCAAGAAACCCTCCAAAGAGCTCGAAACAACTCACATTTAGCCAAAACAAATGCAAGATTCAGCCCAGGGAGTTGAGTATTTAAAGAATTATGGAGGTGGGACTGGATCAGGGTAGTGTCCCAGCTCTGAGTCACTTTCTTTGGGGCATATTTAGGGGTGGAGGGAAGCCATGGCTAGTGTATTGGGACAATTAAATGACACGGTAAGGCTGCTCAGCAGAATTGGATTGGAATTTCCCAGTCAGCAGGCTGGACTCCCACTTAGGCCGAATCATAGAGAAATGTGCAGACGGCAGAATGGGAAGGAGGTGTGGGGTATATGTTTCAGTGATCAAGGGACTCCCTCCCCCCAGTATACCAGTTGGGTCACAGTTGTGGCTGTCAGCCTTTCAGTAGATTGATTGCTCTTCCACAATCTGACCTAGTGGCTTTTTAACGATCAAAATTTTAAAAATCTCTTCAGAAGGTGCTCAGCTTTGAGGTGCCTTTTTGTTCATCACCGGCTTCCAATGTGTCATTGTTGGAGGGGTGTCTGGACTTCAACACCATCAATGTGATGGTGAACATCCTGGCCCATAATAGGAATAATTCCAAAAAAAATCTGACACAAACACATGAGAACACTGGAGGAACTCAGCAGGTCTGGAAGCAGCCGTGGAGAGATGGCAAGATGGTTCTGAAGTAGAGTCATACCAGACTTGAAACATTAACTCTGATCTTTGATTGACTGGACTGTGATTGACTTGCTTTTTAAAATCACATCGGGTATCTATACATTTGAGGTAAGGTCCCAGAAATTTACACAACGTCCCAACCCCAGAATAAACAACAACTTTGTTCAGTTCTGGTCTCCTTACCATAGGAAGGATGTTGTGAAACTTGAAAGGGTTCAGAAAAGATTGACAAGGATGTTGCCAGGTTTAAGATTGCATAGACTGGGATTATTTCCCCTGAAGTATCGAAGGCTGAGGGGTGACCTTAATAGAGGTTTATATAATCATGAGGGGCCTGGATAGGGTGAAAAGCCAAGGTCTTTTTTCCAGGGTAGGGGAGTCCAAAACCAGAGGGCATAGGTTTAAGATGAGAGGGGAAAGATATAAAAGGAGCCAAGGGGCAATGTTTTAATGCAGAACATGGTGCATGTATGGAATGAGCTGGCAGAGGAAGTGGTGGAGACTAGTACAATTATAAAATTTAAAAGGCACCTGGATGGGTATATGAATAGGAAGGGTTTAGAGGGATATGGGCCTAATGATGGCAAGTGGAACTAGATTAGTTTAGAACACCTGGTTGAAATGGATGAGTTGGACTGAAGGGTCTGTTTCTGTGCTGTACATCTGTATGACTCTACGACTGCGATTACCTCTCGGTCTCACTATAGAAATAACAACTATGGCCAAAAACTCTAATTTATGTTACTGTAAATTCAACTCATTCAGTGACTAGTTTTACATGTGACGTAAAATTGTCACGAAAATGCAAAGGAGAAAATTCAGAAAATGTATTGCCTGTGCTGGTTTATCTTCACCTAGCTTAACAGCACTACTCCTGGCTGTGACGACCTATTGTTATCTCAAAAGCTTCTGTAACTTCAACTGAATTGAAGAAATGAAAATTAAAATGAAAAACATTTATCCCCAGTTTATTACAAAAATAAAACTCCACGAAGAGTGGCAGTGCTTTGGCCTTGTGGAATAACAGAATCTACACAACCTATACAAAACTGGTGAGAATCAATTTTTACACTAATGAACACACTGTTATTGCAATAGACTGAAATCAGAAGCGGATCAAAGAGAGTTCATTATTCGGAGTTGGACAGGATAAATTCACAGCACAGTGTGTTTTAAAATGTTTGCGAGTGTATTGATGAAAAAGAAATCATTCTGTCTGCAATTTTCAACAGCACTATCTTTGAGGTAAATAAAATAATTTTACACAATTGTAGGAAGCTAATGCCAAACAAATGGTCATAGCAATCAAAATATGTAGGCTTACACTATCCCATTGTGAAAACTGGTCAACCCCTGTGTGTCCCTTGACACCAGAAATAATTCACACTGTTATAGATTTTCACTTTCTCTGAGTAAGTGTCTTGGTGTGAATTCTTGATTGTAAATTTAAGCATAAATCCTTCCTTCAACCTTACTGGACCTTTAATTATCCACTTGCTTGAATTTTA